CAGAAACAAGCTTTCGTAGTTTTCCATATCAATCTCATAAGGGATCTCATACTTTTGAGGGGGTTTCTGCTGCCCCCAAGTGGTATACAAGAGGAGGGGGGGGTTTGTTTTTGTTTTGCAAAGCAGGCAAATACTGTAGTAATACAAACTGTGTATAAATTACAGGGAACTAAACCTGACTGAGAGAGGAAGAAAAAATAAATAAAAAGGAAGCTAAACAAACATCACATTCCAGTAAAGGCAACACAATACATACTGTTGACTCATATATCATCCCGGAAAATGCAGAGGCGATTAGGTAATGAAGAAATGGGTCCCAGGTCCGGTAGAATAAAAAGGGTTTATCCTTTAATGGTGCAGAAGAGCTTCAGATAGAAAGAGTAGGACACCTGTCAGTGATCCACTAGACCAAGATAGATTTCCAAGCACAGCGGAGCAGAACGTGCCAAAAGGTCTCTGTAGTGAAAATAGGCCATTACATTAAACTGTTGAACAATTGTGATCCAAACCTGCTGGACACAGTGCCAGCAGCAGACAGACGTGTAGAACGAAGCATTTAATACAAAGCTCAGGAACACATTTTTAAAAAGTCATGACATCAAAATGTGTTTTATGTCCATACTTGATATAAGATTTCAGCTGCTCAACAGTCCAGCCTTCATTTCACAATGTGTCAAATGCTCTGAGAGAGTAGCAGGTCTGGACTGCAGAGGTGCTACTTTGCACTTTTTTTTATTAAGGATCCCTGCAGTTGCATGTGCAGATTCTTCTTCATCTTCTTCTTCTTTCGGATCCTAATCCACATATTTTTTTTCCTGAAAGACCGCTTTCTGGAAATGTTTTGTTGGCATCAAGTTTAAAATGACTTTTTTTTCTGAAAGGCTTAAAAAGTCTTTTTAATTCTGATTTTATTTACATTTTACTTGTTTTGTAAAACGTGTTTGTAAGAGAAGTCTACATTAAAAGTGATTAGAAGTGAGCCATAAGTCCTCTAATAAGTTATGCCTCATCCTATAGGTAAGCACAATGGGACAGTCCAGGGCAGGGTGTACTTCCGCTGTCCCCCAGGCCACGGCGTGTTTGTCAAGCCCTCTCGTCTCACCAGAGGACCACCCTCCATGGACACAGAACCGCAGACTCTGATCAGATAGGACCCAAAGAAGGACGCATTTTCCGGGGAGTTGCAGGGATCTGAGCGTGGTCCTCAGATCCTCTTCGGCCTCCCTTCGTATTATCTTTTTGACCACTCAAGTCTCTGAGCTGAAGGAGTCTGTGCTGTCTGAAAGCATATCTTACCTGTGCATTTAATGAAGGTATATCCTAATTATTGTTCACTGACAACAACAACAAAAATCACTATGCACATATCTTAGTTTTCTATATGGTGATATTTTTATAGAAAACTTTAATCTGGGAGTCTTTATACAATATTACCCACATACTTTTTGTTACATTGGTTCTGAACACTACCGTATTTTTGTAAGGCAATGCACTCCA